CTTAATAATCGCGTTATAAGAATTTTCCCGGATGTCCCAAAAATCAGTTAGAAAAAACTGGTAGTCTGTAATGATTGAGTGACTTTCATTAAAAATACTTTCATTAAAGTGTTTTGTTGCATACCATACAAAAACGACCCAATTTTTTTTGCATTATTTATCCAGGTTCTGTTCCACGCACATCTAGATGCACGTGCAACCGGATCTAGATAAATGACTGAAAAAATTGGGTTGTGTTTGAACGAGAATGAAAGTACCGAAATTATCATTAAAAAATTCTTAATGAAGGTCCTAGGTTGAATGCAGGTTTACCTATTCAAACTCAAAGTGCGAATACATTTGTTTCCTGTCATAAGTAGCTAAGTCGAAATTGTCGTATTTAAAATGGAAACCAAACAAGATCTTCATTTTCCCCGATGTAGGTGTGTTATCAGATATCCCGAGAAGGAGAGGAGAGTAGTTTGGGATAACGTCTCACTGTACAAGATAAAGTGTACCCGCTAGTGTGCATTTCTTCAAGTGTGCATTTGAAATACAAAATGATGTTGTTTAAATGAGCAATTTACAGTGTGTTCTGAGCATACTGAACACGTTGTTTTCAGTAGGCATTTTGAGTCCAAGTGATGTGCAATTCCACTATGCCCCGGGCACAGTTTATTTTTTACAGTGCACTATCAGATAGAATATAGGAAATCGATCACACTGAATATCACCGCATCAAAAGTCTGATGAAAATCTATTTTGATGTGAAATAACTCATTTTAGACTATTTTCACTTAATATCGAAAACTCCCAAATTTTGTCATAATCGGTCAGAACGACATGAGCATTTCGGTACATACACACTTTCTATTATGCACATGATTTTGAGATTAAAAGGTTGGTAAAACTACTTTTCCTTCAAGATTTTCTTAAAGATGCGCTCAGAAAACTAAAGTCTTTTCTTAAAACGTTTTCTAGTTTTCATGCAAAGTTATACATAGAGGAGTTTAAATCAAATACCGTCTGCGATTTCAGGTTGCTTTGACCAATCTTGACAAAGTTATGAACTTTTTAATATCAGGTGATAGTAGTGTAAAAGACTTTCACATGAAATACATTTTCATGCTCAATAGCAAAAAGTCCGAATTGATAGCAAAATGCATTACTGATGAAAAGAACAAATTTAATACATTCAATTAAGAACAGTGCCCAGTTTTATTCACACACTATTCTGTGTTTGAAATCTGTGTTTTATTACATTCCTATTCTCAAGAGAAAAACCAGAAAAAAGTTTATTAACTTGTCGTAAATTGGCAGTAGATTGTAATTAATTATCGGGCACATTTCTTTATCCGAGTACAAACATGTAAAAACATTTATTTGTACCCGTTTCAGACATAAAAGTAATCTCATCGACAAAGTGTGTAATTAGTTTCGTTTTTTTAACAGTACAAATATTATTTGATTGACTGAATTAATTTATAATATTGTATGTCATCAGTTCGAAAAAGGCAATGTTCGCGGCTGTAAATCTTGTTTTTTCTCTTTACATAAAAGAGAAACTAAGTTAGAATGCCGAGAAGATCAATGTTGATTTTGTATAAAAATATGATAGAAAACAATGCATTTATTAGAGACCAATCTATCGAATTTAAAACGATATGTAATAACCTTGAAAATGAATACTATCATCCATAAAAAAACTAATAACAAAAAAAGATTACAGTCGTATGGCAAATTGACATATGGTTTACTATCTGTTATTTCTTTATTATATACAATTGTTTTATAGTCCATGTATTTTTCGACAGTATATCAGGCTCCATCTCAATTAAACCGAACCGACCTTTTTTTATTTTTCAATAATCGTGATGAATAATTAGATGAGATGTTAATTCTTAGAATTCGAGCAAATTTATAAAAGTTTTGATGTGAGACTCAGCATAATATTAATACAGCTTATTAAAATTGTTTTGATTTCAGTGATAAAGAAATACTCCAGACTGGACTATGACAGATAAAGATCTTGTTATTAACTATTTTACGTTGTGTATTCGAAGTAGACCTCATAATTGGATCATTTGTCTGCAAACTAATACAACAAAACTAATATTAATGTTTTACTGAAACAATAATACTAAAAATGTGAATAGAAATGTCAACAGATTATTACTGACATATATCAAGTACAAATTCTTCTTTAAAAAAATCTCTCTCTCTCTCTCTCTCTCTCTATTTGTTTCCTGCAGAAAGTTCTTTTTGCGTGAACAACTAATCTGTAATTGATCAAGTTTTTCTTTTCCATTAATACTTGAGAATAGTAATGTGTATATCGGTCAAGTCGGACAGAGAGCGTGTTTAATGTGCCATGCGATATTGTTTTATCGAAAAAATGACAACGTTTTTCATATTCAAGTAGAGAAAAAAACCGATATCATCCTTCAGATATCTAAAAATCGGTTACGAAAATTGTTCTCAATGGAATATGTTACTAAAAATTGACAAAAATAAAATATCTCACTGTCTGAAATCTCAAATTCCTCAAAATCAAAGATGATCAAATAGATCACAAAGTGATGAGTGGGAGTCTACTAGGTTGCATTATTTGTTAAATTTAGCCTTTTATGATTTAGTACGTGAGTATGGGAAAACGCTGAGAATAATTAAATACATCATGAATAATAATTCGTCCAATTTCACTACTACTGCTCCCATTCCATGTGCAAGTGATTATGTTTTATCAGAGTTTAAACGTATTGTTGAAGGATGGGTATTATCTTCTATTTGTCTGTTTGGCATATGCGGTAATTTATTAACGTGTGTTATATTATCAAATTCACGAATGCGTGAATCATCAACGAATATTTATTTATTAGCATTATCGTTCGTAAATACTCTTGTTTTAATTGGGTTTTTTCTATCTCACGGTTTAAGATCGATACTATACGATTATAATTTATATTGTACAAATATTTATTCGAATCCAATGACAACATTATACGAATCATTTTATGCAAGAATATTTTTATTTATATTTCCCATCCATATCACATGCATTTTAATGTCAATTTATTTAACCGCATCCGTAGCTCTTGATCGATTTGCATTAATTTGTTTACCACATAAAATTCAAAAATATCGTACACAAAGGCATTCAATTAAAATAATACTCGCTGTTTGTCTATTTTGTGTCGTATATTGTTTACCATTTTGGTTTGAATTCACACATAAAGAAGATGTAACAAATGGTAGTAATAAAACATCACAAACTAAAAGAGCCATAACGATGTCGGAATTTGGAAAACATCCATTATTTCGTTTATTAATGAGAAAATATCTATATTTTATATTCGTCTTTTTATTTCCCTTATCTATTTTAATATTTTGTAAAACGTGTATAATACGACGTCTAATAACAATTCATAAAAAGAAGCGTCTATTAGGCACGAATACAAATAAACGGCATCGTTCCAGTAATGCAATTACGTTACTACTATTATCTATTGTATTTGTTTTTCTCATCACACAGTTTCCATATTTTATCTTCAATGTGCTTTACTCTATAAAAGGGCCATCATATCTGTCAAAATCGAGTACTAGATTCTATTTAGGTATCAATAACGTGTTATCGGTTATTAATGCATCATCGGCATTCATTTTATACTCGTTTTTTGGTGAAAGGTTTCGAGAAATGATATTAGTCATTTTTTGTTGTAAAAACTTAGATAGATCAGGCAGTAGTTGTCGTACATCTCGACAATCGCCTGTGTCACGTTTAAGCATTATATCACCATTAATCAAACGTAATTCATCTTGTGTATTATCATTGCCACTGGTGATTCGGAAAAAAAAGCAAAAAGAATCTTGTATGTTGCCAAATGAAGAAGAAGAGAAAGATGTTAATAAAAAAATGGTACTACTTGAAAAATCATTACGAACATATGACAATGTAAGATGTTCTGTATCCAAATGAAAATTGAGGAAATAGTTTTGTTATTGAGTTTTTATGTTTTCTTACACTGTGGGCAATAAATAAAAGTTCTTTTTCTATATGTACTTGAACGAAAATCATATTTATCGCTTTCTGCATAAATGCAAATCAAAGTCAGGGCATGAAATCACTAAAATCACACCGAAAACTAGCGTTGGATTCGTATCAATGCTAAATTAGTATCAGCGATGGTGCAGCTAAGACTGTTCATCCATCGAGCCAGTTTCCATTACGTCGAAATTAATGGCTGAACCAAGTCCTAGAAAAAGGATTGAATGAAAAATTATCTTTAGTAAAATGTACACTCTTCGAAAGAAGGAAAAGATATTGTGTTTTTTTGCACATACTGAAATATAGGATAAACATTTTCCTGAAAAATGAGAGGTTGCAAATCTCGCTTCTACCATACGCAGCTTCTGATTCCTTTTGTCTGCATATCAAAATGACTATACTCGCACTTGTACTCGAGAAAAAGTTTATTCTTTGGCTGCAAAAATGACGGTACAAAGCAGAAGTTTCTCATTTTTACTCAAAAGATTCCGCCTTTGACACATTCTGACAAGCTGACAAATTTCGTTGAGATATAACGAACATGGTGACATTGCTTTCATCAAGTCAAAAACAGCGGAATGAGCTATTATTTCTGGTTTAAAGTCAGTTATATTAAATGAGTTAGTTATTTACGGTTACGATTAACTAAAACAGACCGTCATCAGCTGATCCATTGACGAGTGTATTGATGTTTTACCTCATACGATAAATATGCGTGACAAATTATACAGAAAAGTGAAATCTCTTCAGATGAAACAAAATTAACAAATTCTGATGTTATAGAATTTGTACGATTCTATATGTTAAAATTGGGCAGAAGTGCAACAAATAAATCTCCAGCAAAGACTGGTCGTATGGTTCTATTCAGTGATTGTCATATGAATTGAATATAACGAAAAGTGTGAGGCTAGAAAGAATGAAGAAGCCATGTTCATCAGCTCACATTACGACCCCTCGGAAAAATGATCCGATCAAGATCAAAATTTTACCACCTCAGACCCTACCTCAGGTTCGTTTTTTTCTTTACGAAAGGAAAAAATAGTTACCGGGGAAAAATACATCAATTTTCGTTTTCGATATTCCATCTCTGGTATAAATCTGAACCCGATCCGACATCGGCTTTCCCGGTTTCCAAGAGGGGTCAAAAAAGAGGTGGGTGTACCCTTTAGTTATCACGTGACCATTAGTTATTTCATAGAGAAAACGGGGGGAGTTCTTGAAAAAGATATCATCTTCAGAGCCTAATTCTAGATGACCCAAAGCATATCGGAAAAAGTAACTTCAGATGTGTCATCTGCAACTACTGCAGATTCAAATAATCTTTTCCCCGAAGCTCTATGATAAATGTGCCATCTACAGCACTTGTAGATTTGGATCGCCTTTTTCCCAAATCTGACGATTACGCATAATCGAGAACGAGTGGCTGACTCGAAAGAGAAAACACAGTGTGGAAAGAAAGAATTTCTGGAAACGACCGGTTTCCAGAAATTCTTAAAGATTTTTGGGAGATGCGGTCTGCTGTTTTGAACCGTCCGGCTCGATCCGGTCTCTTAGTTTTAGACCGGTTGCAACTCTGACGCGCGTAGTGGAACGTCTCGAAAGGAGGCTTTTTGCTTATTACTTATCTTTCCTCTCGTTTCACTTAGTCTACTTAAAAAGCGTTCACATTTACAAAAGCATTTCACCATTAATAAAGAATGTTGAAATGATTAATACCTAACAGTTGCGGTGTTTTTTCCAGTAACTAAGACATTTCAAGCTTTTGAATAGAAACTTAGTTTTAATTTTTTTTATTTTGACATTTCCAAATGGAGAATTTAATTCTGAACAGGTCTGTATGATTAGGGAGTTGAAGCATGAAAATTTTTCAGAGGATATTCGTTGGAAAATGTACACTGCAAGAGATCGAAACAGAAAAACTCAATTTTTCATGCTTAGGACTCTTTTTATCGTGAGAATTCCTACACGAGATTTTGCTCTAAAATTACACTGCATATACCAGAAAAACCCAGGTCAAATAATCCTACGAAACTCTTGTAGGATTTTGTAGGGAAACCTCAAAGCCAAAAAATCCGTCGAATGGTAACGAGTCAAATAGTAGGATTTTGTAAGAATTGCATAAGATTCCCTATTATAGGAATTCTATAGGATTTTTGCTACCGCCCTATATCAAGAATCCTACGGAATTCCTGTTGTGGTATTCCACCGAATCCTACGATAGGAATCCTATGAAATCCTATTGTCAGTAGGATCCTAGTAGGATTGCTTGACCTGTGAAGCAGAATTTAGCGCAGAATTTTATGATATATCTGGAATTTTAGTAGGAAGTTCGTTTGTATTTTACGTTTTACTAAATCTGAACCCGATCCGACATCGCAGTAAGAACATTGAGCATATGCTAATGTTTCAGTTATTACTGCGGGGGAAATTTTTGTTCGGCAATTCAACTCAACAGCCTTGTAGAACAGAATATTTTCTATCAAATGTATTCAAAGAATATTTCTATTTTTTTTTCTGTCATAGAATATTGACCGTTTCAAGGACTCATATCATCTTATATGTGAACGTTATGCCAATGACGCAATTCATTTTGATTAATTAGCACACTCTGCAACTTGTTTTTCATTCTTGATACTAAACTTGTTTTAATTATTGTATATGGATAATACCAAGGTATAATATTGTTGCTTTGCGAGTGATCTACTGTCTAGGCATGCACCAGTTAAAACTGATCTTAGAGCTTTCACAAAAATTGTTATAAGTCGCCTATAAAGAATTATTCAGAGTCGTAGAATGTCTCAATTTTTAGAGAAATGTTTGGATTACCATCCCCTATAAGTAGAAAAATTTCGAAGTTATCTGTAATACAAATATGAACATTCTAAAATGCACTAAACTTAGAAGAAAAAATTGTTTAGTGCATTTTAGAATGCTCATATTTGTATTACAGATTGTAATCCAAACATTTCTCTACAAAATGAGACATTCTGCGACTCTGAGTAATTCTTTATAGGCGTCGGTTAGAATCGAGCACGGATGTTTTTGGTTTTCTTCAAAATCTCCTGAATAGAAATACTGCCATGGGACTTAGCATGGTCGATGAACTATTTTTCCATTCGGTATGACGGTTATCATATGTGCGCAGGACTTGATCAATAGACAATTTAACACTTCGCACCATGCAGGAGGGTCGAAAATCCATCCATGTGTCAGAGAGCAGCAGTCTACTTCTACAGACTTGTAACGTACATTATCTTTAGGTGGTCAAAGCAGATCGAAAAGACAAGACAGAGAAAAGTTTGACTCAAGGAAGTCAAGCGCTTGAGATAAGAATCTCATGCGCATGAATTTCTTGATATATGAAACTCAAGCACATGAGTCAAGAAAGTCAAGCACATGACATCAGAAAAAATGCGTTTTGTATGCGTAAGAAATGTCTCCACGTCATGAGATTCTTACTCAAGAAATTCAAGAAAGTCATGTGGTTGAGAAAAAAAAGCTTCACTAGGGTAGTTATTAGTACATGATTATTTGAATCATAAGTGACTATTTTGCCTAAAAACACCAACAAAAACATTTAATAGTCTTTTAATTTTTCACATGAAAAAGCCGCTGTTTTTTAATACAATTGTTTTTTACTGAAAGTAAAGCAGTTTTATGAAATTTTGACAGCATAATCTGAAAGAACAACTTCAATTCTACATATTTCATGTTGAAGCTTGTTCTGGGAAGCAGTTCAGAACATGCCAGAAAATCAAAAACTTCAACATACTGGGTGGTCTTATAATTTGTGACAATACTATAGATGCACAAATCAACACATCAACTAAAATATTAGAGGTTTGTATTTCAGGGAGGAAGGATACTTTCTTAGCATCCAGCATAGTCAATGAATTGCAGCATGCTCATTTGAGATTCTCATCTGCCTAAATTGGCGTCATGGGATTTCCATTTTGTATTCTATAGCTTTACATAAAGTTGAAAATGAATAAAGTAAAGAATATTACATGTCATTGCATCATCTGTTCTATTTATTGCCTCATGCACAAAACCAATATAGCAAATATATTTGAATTTTTGTTTTTAGATAAATAGTCACTTAACAATGATGCACAACATTTGAAACAGCAAGTAGGAATAAAAATGAATAAAAATTTAATTTAACTACTATGAACCTGCTTTATTCTAGGAAGAACACGTTAAACGATTAGAACGTCAATTATTCCATCGATCGGAATTTCAAAATCATCCTTGACTATATGAATCATTCATTTTAAAATCATCCTTATTATATGAATTACGTACAGGAAACGATAAATTAAATTTTCGTGATAATATTCTTATTCAAGTAAGTCGTAACCAGTGGTTTCAATAGTCTTATATAAAAGGTTTTTCTCTGTTTCTAGGAAATTTAAGGCTTGAAAAATAAATAGCCCTTTGCATCGGCTATTCATAATTCTAACAACAAAAAAACTTTAAAAAATAATAATCTATATTTTACAATGATTAGTGATCTAGAAGAAGATGAGGCACATTCTGTTTGTATACAGAATACGTTGAAGCATCTATTTGATCAAGCAATAAAATCAGTCTATCCAAATAATGAAAATTTACCAGTGATAATAACAGCAGGAAAAACATCAGATTATCAATGTAACAGTGCTATGCCAATTGCACAAGTAGATAAAGAGTAGTCAAATTGTGAGTGTAACGGGTGGGCCGTAAAGAACCAACAAGAATCATTTCCGTTTTTTCGGTCAGTTCTCTGTAGTTTGGAGACTCTGTTCTAAGCTCATTCGATAGAAAATATTCTGTTCTACCAGGTTGCTTCTGTTCCGACATCGGCTTTCCCAGTTTCCAAGGAGGTCAAAAAAGAGGGGGGGGAGCGTGCCCTTAACAGTGTACAGCATATATAATACAAGCATAGATATTCTTAGAGGAGATAATGAATCATCAGCTATCATACTGCATAGCATCTGGTGTATAGTATAATCAGTTTTCGTAGAAAGAAGTTACTTGACCGATATTTATCTATAAGAATATTGCAGGCATTTTTTCTGCATATAAAATGCAATTACCATTTGAATATCTGCTTAAAGTTTGTGAGTGTTTGACTTTCTCTGATTATCGTTTCACTTACTCAATTTTCAATCTTTGCGGATCACAGTTGGCTCTCTAGTCTATTATTCTCGTTGAAGTTGTCATGGATCGTAACCGTACATTTCCGCGAACAGGACCCCGACTCTTCCATGAATTTTTCGTAGTACACATTTGGGTGTTTTTGGCAGTGTGTTGTGGGAGGTGGGGTGTGGGCCGTGTGAGAGTGAGTTCGAAAAGTAGTTTCACACAAAACATATTTTCATGATGCGAAACTATATCTGTAACTATATATCACATCAGAGATGAACGAGTACGAGTATACTCAAATACAAATTTTGCAGCACCCGTACTCGTACTCGGGAATCTTTTTTACGAGTACTTAAAAATGTACTCGAGTATTTTCGAGTACTTGAAATTTTTTAACATACAATAACCTATAATTAAAATAACTTTTTTCATGAGTTTTCTTTTAAAAATTTTCGTACTCGAGAATCTGCGTATTCGCCCATCTTTGTATCACATAAGAACTATTCACCACATAACTTCACTCAGGCTTCATGTTGTTCGCGGTAATGTCGATGTATACGTCCTGTCTCTCTCTGTTCTTCTACTTTCTCTCTCTTGCTGCGTTAGTCATGGCTATTGTTTAATTCAATTAAATAGCATTAAAATAACATGGTTATTGTGGTGCGACGTATTGAACAAGGATCCAGTTGTGAATACCGGAAGCACAGAACCTAACAGCAATAAAATAATTTTAGCCATTTTTTAAACTTGAATACTGCTTCCGAAACTTCAGAGTCCGATCTAAAAGAAGTTACTTCTCAGATCAATTTGATGAGCGGAAACACCTTTTTTAAGAGAGAAAACAAGTCCTTCGCAGTATAAACATTGAGCATGTGCTCTCTGTAGTTTGGAGACGCCATTCTATGCTCATTCGATAAAGAATTTTTCTCACTATAAGGCTGTTCAGTTGAATTACCGAAGAAAAACTCCCCCGGAGTAATAACTGAAGCATCAGCTGAACGAAAGAAAGTAGTGATTCTCGCCGAATCTATATGGCTCACCCGTTATAAGATACAAATAATTGTAATTCTTTGTAGCTTAGCCTGAAACTTTGGTCTATTTAGAAATTAAATTCGAAAGATAGTAATACGAATATTCGACATAATCCTAAACAGATTGCAGAAACAATCGCCAAGCACATACCAAAACATTCAATTATCGATAAAGTACGTTTCTTGAATACAAAAATGTATCTATGTGAAAATTGATGTTTAGTTTGATATCTCTGGTCCTGGTTTCATTAATATATATATTTCAACAGTATTTGTTTCGACACAAATACGAAAAATTCTTTTAAACGGTGTTTTACCGCCGAATGTCAATAGTACAACGAAAAAAGTTGTTATCGATTTTTCGTCACCAAATATTGCCAAAGAAATGCATGTCGGTCATTTACGGTAAATATTTTCGCATACTGTTTCTTTTACACATCTGTTCTATATGGCCCATCCGTTATAAGATACAAATAATTGTAATTCTTTCCAGCTTAGCCTGAAAGATTTGGTCTATTTAGAAATTAAATTCAAAAGATAGTAATACTTAGGGATGCACCAAACCCGAATATTTGTGTTTGGTGCGTTTGGGTTGGGTGAATATTTGGGATTTTGGGTTTGTAATCTCAAAC